CATGGCATCAAAGGGGAAGTCTTTTAACATTAAGGATGGGGACATGTTCCTTTTGTTAGGATAAAAAGATATTGCTCGCACTCTTTATGAGATGTTCTCCTAAACAATCATCTACCTGCTCCACTTGTCCATGTGACTAGATAACCTAGGTTACTTTTCCCCGATAAATTCATTAAGACGTCTCATTCCTTCAAACTTATCCATGTGGGCACCTTGAGGCCTTGATTTTATACCAACTCGCAATGGTTTTAAGTACTTTCTCTCCATTGTTATCGATTTTCTAGGGCTACGAGGGTTTGTCTCATGGGTTTCAAAACTAATAATTTTCCTTTAAGCTCAGGCTAAAATTGCCCCGATTTCAAACCAAAGTGCGTCCCTTTTTTTTTCTTTCTCCAAAGTCTTAAATGGGTCGGATTGGATGGGTTACGTGGCCTTCTTCTCACTCGTCTTCAATAATTGACTATATCATTTTCATATGAGGGGAGTTTGCTACCCATGGTATTACACCTCCTTGGGTGAATAGGAGTGTCATTCGTCTTTCTCCCCGAAGATCATAATTAACCATTAGAATGCCTCTAACCAATACATGATTTCATCCCAACATGTAGATGTCTTAGCTATGTGGTTCTACTCGTGAAAGGGGGAGATTCGGTGCCTTGAGATTTTTGCACATATCATGAGCATATTGATTTGGAAGACAAGTTGTCGTACCTTTAGTTCTCTCATATAGGGTCAATTGTCAGGGAGGGTTAAGATGTTTGAGTTATGATAATCTCATAAGTGTTTTAACTTCATTTTCATCCTCATGGGCTTATGGCATAGATTCCTTGTGTCAGCTAATGTCAGGAGTGTGATTCCACTTCATGTATTTTGAATCCCATATCGCATTCAAGGTACCAGAGTATGAACTGATTTTCCCTTCACTCTAGGAAACGACTGGGTCATGTACTTGAATATTCCTATTGCCAATGTACTACTTACCCCTATGCCTCATTTGTGTAATAATTGTCGTCGTCACAGTAATTAACCATGTCAGCATTGTTAGTTGTAACTTTCATGTCCCTTAGCATATAACCTAAGAAAGTACTCTACTCAGCGCATTAATGAATTCCTGGATAACTCCAACACAATCTCGAACTCTATGTTCCTCATTGCATTAAATTTATTAGGTATTGAAGGTCCAAACATGTCAAATGGGGATCATCTCCGTGTGATCGCATATGTTCGATAGGTAGTTTTATGGCCAGTTTATGATAGCACAACTTAATGTAATCATCGAAGGTCATCAAGGTTTAGCATGGGTGTTCGAGTAGAGATTTAGAATTCAGGAGGGTGAACTGGTTTTTCTCAAAAAATTTCCCATGTAGATGTAATGTGAATTGATAATGAAGGGTACTTAAGCGCATTTCCCATTAGGTCGCACTAGGAGTATGATGTTTCCCCATGGTTGTTCCTCATAAATTTGTATTTTCATAAATCTATGCTAAAGAAAGTGGTTGGAGATCCATCCACCATCGTGCCAGTTGAGACTATCGAGGTTAATGAAGAGTTATCGTACGAAGAAATTCCGGTTGCTATTCTTGATAGGCAAGTCCGTAAATTGAGAAACAAGAAAGTCGCTTCAGTTAAAGTATTACGGCGAAGTCAACGAGTCGAGGAAGCCACGTGGGAAGCGAAAAATGAAATGAAAGAAAATTATCCCCATCTGTTTGAACAAGTCTAGTAGTGATCGTGGTTGTCTTTAAGCAATTTGAGGTAGTGTTCAGATTTGTGCAAAGGCACCCCATTTTTCCAAATTGCCTTATTGTTGTAACTTCCCTATGTGTGCCAAATTACAAATGTTGTTGCTATTTGGTTAATGTGCAACCCTTGAAGTAAATGAAAATTTTGAGAAACTTATGTGGTAGGTAAATGATTAATGATAGTGTAGATTGGTAATGATTAATTGAAGCATTTTTGGCATGTTAAAATGATTGAATTGTATGGGGCTCATTAAAGTGACCCATTTGTGTGCAAGTAAATGACATTGGTTGAACCATGTGCAATTTGTGGTGTAAAGAGAATGAACTACGTGTAAGTTGTTTAAAGTGTATGAATATGTACAAGTTGTTGAGGTAATGAATTGTATACCAGTTGTAGGGATAACAGAAACTGTTTAATGGTACTTGGAAATATGTTTCGGGGGCTCTCTGACAGGTAGATAGGCCTAATTACAAAGGAAAATCTGGGGAAATTTCTGAAAAATTTGGGAGTTAGTCAAAATTTAGGGACTTGAGGTAGGATAGAAAAGAAATATGTTATGTTGGGTGTTTGGGTCAGGCTCTACCTCTCATTCGAGGACGAATGATCCTAAGCGGGGGAGAATGTAAGGCCCCGGAAAATTTTGCTAGGCGATATAGGATTTCGGGGTGCGAGGTAGACTAATTGTAATATTTTATGTTCTTTAAATATGATGCAAATGAATTGGATATGGTGAATAAGTTTATGAGTCATGTAATAAGTGATGTGAGGTCCAAAGGGAAGCCTAAGTCTAAGCCAAGTTGGAAAATTTTATAATAGGCTAAGATTTCAAATGAATACGCACAAGACCTCACTTTGGACGAGCATATATACGTTTATATAAGGAGTTGTGGGATGCACAACCTATCAAATTAAATCTCTTTGAATCTAGTTTCCAATGCACCAAACCGTTCGTCATTTGGAGGTGTATACAGAAAGTTACGACCATTTTACTTGGCAGGTGTTGAAGCGAGGCCTTAGCGCATATTGGGAAGTATTCTGCCTCCTTAGCGCGGCCTTAGCGCCGGCGCCTAGTAGCAGACCTCTAAATACACCTAAGGACGGGAAATGAGAGGATTTAAGTCATTTCTCAAGCCTAGGGCATCCTCTCCATCCCCAATCCGACCAAGGTATCCAATCACACACCTAAGGTGAGTTTTTAAGTGTGCTTTCATGGTGATTTCACCTCTCAATTACTAGTTAAAACAGGATTTTGATTGGATTTCATAGGATTTCTTCAAAATCTCAAGAACATCCCAAAAGTTGTCTTTCAAGATTTGGCCTACAAGAGGTAATCTTTTACCTTTAGACTTACATATATGGATATATTATGGGAATATGAGTATGAATTAAGTGTTGGAACTCTTGGTGTAGTGGTGGGAAGCCATAAGTTCCCAATATAAATACATAATTATTGTAGAGATTGAAAGGGTGATTATTTGATATAAATTGTTGGTTGGGTATGAATGGGTGATCATACATATGTTGTTGGAAGTTATAAATTGGTTAGGAATGATGGTGCAATAAATTGTTAGTTAATGGTGATAGATGGATGAACTAATACTATGGTTATGAGATGAAAAGATTTATACCTACAAGGTGTTTGATAATATGCCTAAATGGCATAAGTTATGGAATTTGTTACTAATATTGGCCCCATTGAATGTTGTATTGTAGATTGAAGTTGCTTAAGTGTATTGGATCATTGTAGTATCATTAAGGGGCGAAATTGAGGTATGTATGGCTAACTTTAACCTTTGTAAAGTCACCTTGTTTGGTGTACGAGTATTTGGCATGTGATACCTATATGGACTATTTGTGAATTCTTGTGATGGATATGCCTTGAACGTTGTTGTTTAGTTTTGTACGAGTATTTGATATGTGATACCAATGTGGACTATTTGTGAATTCTTGTGATTGATATTCCTTGAACGTTGTTGGTTAAGTCTCCCGATATAATGGTGTAAATAAATGGCAACAAACCAAGTATGTGTATGTGAATGTGTTTATATGGTAAAAGCTGTGTAACAAATGAGGGAAAGAAATCGTGATTGATGCAATTGAAATAACTGTGGTAATATCGTATGTGACTTGTCGTGGGCAATTATCGTTGTGACTTAAATTATATGCGAGCTGTTGTATATGATGGAAATGGTATTGATGGTTATGAAAATTCTTTGTGATTTGTTGTTGTTGTCGTGTGAAATGTGATTTGTTATTGTTGTTGTGTGAAATGTGATTGTTCGGTGGGATCGGGTTGCGCGCCGCAACATGTAGTAATAAGGTGTGGGTTGTGGTGATAAGGGTGGCTGAGGTAATAAGGGTGGCCGAGGTAATAAGGGTGAAAAAGTGATCGAAATCACTATTGAAATGAAAATATGAGAAAGTTGTGAAATCATTGATGTGATGAAATAATGTTGAAAGGGGAAAATGAGAGATTGTGAAAGTTGTTTGGCTTTGGTTGTTCCTTTCATGTGCATTTGATTCTACTTGGGGTAAAGTTTGTATTGTTTGATTCTACTTGGGGTAAAGTTTGTATTGTTTAATTCTACTTGGGGTAAAGTTTGTATTGTTTGATTCTACTTGGGGTAAAGTTTGTATTGTTTGATTTTACTTGGGGTAAAGTTTGTTCATACATACCAGTACAATTCAAATGTACTGACCTCCCTTTTGCCGGGAGCGCTACATTCGTGTTATGATTGTAGGTGGATCTATAGCAGGTACTCCAGTCCACCGACAGTAGTACTCCTTCACTTCCCGTCAGCTGAATTGGTGAGCCCCTTTTCTCTCGGGGCCCTGCGTGGCTCATGCCGCTTTTCTTCCCGGAGTCTTATTTTGATATTTGTGTAAGGTATAGCCGGAGCCTTGTTTCCGGCATCTCCATATTATTCTTCAGTTGTATTTGGAGGCTCCGTAGACAGGTTGTGGGTAGTGTCGGGTATTGGAATTTAAAATAGAAATATTGATGTTTGGTAATGATGTATAAAACTTGTAATACCTTTAAAATGGTGAATGAAGTTGCTAATGAAAATGAAATCGAAATCGGTAATGATATGTTTATAGAATTTGATTAATGGAGTCCATCTCCTTATTATTCATGAATTAGTTTGGGTAGAATGAGACCTAACAGGCTTGCTCGGTCGGGTTTACTCGGTTGAGCGCCGGTCGCGCTCCTCGGATTTTGGGGCGTGACAGATACGCATATTGAAATGATCCTGCAGACTCTGCCTGACAGTTTTCAGCAGTTTCGCCTGAATTATAACATGAACAAAATGAATTTGTCACTTGCGAAATTGTTGTATGAGCTGCAGCCGGCAGAGACTATTATCAAGCAACAAGCTCCTCCTATGGCATTGAATTTTGAGGGAGGTTCTGCTTCTAAGCCTAGAGGTAGTCAGAAGAAGAAAAAGACTTAAAAACCCTCTGTTGGTGGCGCAACTGCTGGTGTAAAAAAGGCTAAGGGAAAGTGTTATCACTGCAAGCAGCCTGGGCATCATAAAAAGCAGTGTTCGACTTATCTGGCCAAGCTCAAAAATAAACCATGTGATTTACGTCTACTTGTCGTTGAAACTCTTTTAGCGGCTGTTTCTACCATGTCATGGTGTGTAGATACGGGAGCCACTAATCATGTCTGCACTTATTTGTAGGGGTTTCAGGTAACGCGGCGGCTAAGTAGAGCAGAAATCAATGTTTATCAAGCAGATGGTTCGGCAGCCCAGCTATAGCATTAGGAAACATTAGTATTTCGTTTGGTAGTGGTAGAGTTTTAGCTTTAAAAGACACAATATATGTACCTTCCATTAGAAGGAATTTAATTTCGGTTTCTACCGCTATGAGTGATGGTTATGACATTAATTTTCATGATATTGATAAATCTGTTATTACTCATGATAAACGTTATCTCTCTTCGGCTACATTGATTAATGGTATTTTTGTTGTTGACTCTATTCCTAAACCGTTACAACGTAAAGAACTGAATTATGTTGATTTACCAAATAAGAGAAAACGTTCTTCTGAATTGAGTAAAATATATTTATGGCACTTGCGTTTGGGTTATATAAATCTAAACAGAATTTCAAGGTTGGTCAAGAATGGACCTTTAAGTTCATTGAAAGTGGAGGCACCACCAACTTGTGAATCTTGTTTAGAAGGAAAAATGACAAAACGAAATTTTCCCTCAAAAGGAAATCGAGCAAGTGATGAATTAGAGTTAATTCATTCTGATTTGTGTGGTCCAATGAATGTCCAAGCAAGAGGTGGTTTTGAGTATTTTGTGACTTTCACAGATGATTACTCAAAATATGGATATATTTATTTGTTGCGTCGAAAGTCTGAATGTTTTGAAGAGTTCAAAGAATTTAAGACTGAGACTGAAAAGCGACATAATAAATATATCAAGACACTACGATCTGATCGTGGTGGGGAGTACCTCTCTACGGATTTCATTAGTTATTTATCAGATGTGGAATTACATCTCAATTATTTGCACCTGGAACTCCACAACAAAATGGTGTAGCTGAAACAAGAAATACGACTCTTATGAAAATGGTTAGATCAATGATGAGTTATTCCGATTTGCCTTCGTCTTTTTAGGGACATGCCTTAGAAACAACGAATTATGTTCTGAACTTAGTTCCTTCAAAGTCAGTACCTTTGACCCCTACAGAATTGTGGAATGGGCACAAGCCTAGTCTGCGGCATATTCGAGTTTGGGGTTGTCCGGCACAAGTGCTGAAAAGGAAAATGGATAAATTAGAGGCAAGAACGGATGTATGCGTGTTTGTAAGTTATCCAAAAGGGATGAAAGGTGATTTATTTTATTGTCCTAAAGAGAAGAAGGTAATTGTTAGCACAAATGCCAAGTTTCTTGAAGAGGACTATTTGATGAACCATGTTTCTAGAAGTAAACTCGTTTTATAGGAACTTAGCAAAGGAATGGAAACTCAGTCATCTGAAAAACATACGACCAAATGCAAACCCCGGAAGTCGATTTTGACATACCATTGCATTTTAGTAGTGAGAGAAATATCAATAGACTTGATGTCCCGCAAGAACAAGTGCCCGAAGTCATACTACCACAAAGTAGTGGGAGTTATGTTGAGCATACTGCACAATAGGAACAAGTCGTTGATATCCCTGTGGATAGCATGGAGACTCGGGTTCCTAATGATGATGTGGTTCAACCACAAAATCAAAATGGTGTAGTTGCAACTGATGTAGTGCATAGTCGTAGTGGGAGAGAAATAAGACAGCCAGTTCATCATACGCTCTTGGGAGAATCATATGATAGGATACCTGAGGAGCCTACTTCCGAACCTGTCAATTACGACCAAGCACTACATGATAAAGATGTCGATAAGTGGGTTGCTGCTATGAAATCAGAGATGGAGTCTATGTACTCTAATCAAGTATGAGATCTTGTAGAACCAGGTGATGGGGTCAAACCCATTGGATGCAAGTGGTTCTATAAGAAAAAGAGAGGTGTAGACAGAAAAATGCAAACTTTTAAAGCAAGGCTTGTAGCGAAAGGGTTTACTCAGAAAGAAGGGATCGATTATGAGGAGACCTTCTCGCCGGTAGCCATGCTTAAGTCTATAAGTGTTCTCTTATCCATTGCTGCTCATTATGACTATGAGATTTGGCAAATGGATGTCAAGACAACTTTCCTTAATGGAAGTCTTGATGAGTGCATCTATATGATGACACCAGACGGTTTCGTGGAAAGTGGCAAGGTGCACATGTTGTGTAAGCTTAAAAGGTCCATTAATGGACTAAAACAAGAATCTAGGGCATGGAACACTTGTTTTGACAAGGCGATTAAAACTTTTGGTTTTGACCAGTATCTTAACGAGTCTTGTGTATACAAAAAATGGGATGGGGACAAAGTGGCGTTTTAAATCTTGTATGTAGATGACATATTGCTCATAGGAAATAATGTGGGCATGTTGGATTCAGTTAAAAAGTGGTTGTCCACGCACTTCGATATGAAATATTTGGAAGAGGCGACTCATATTCTTGGGATCAAGCTCTTGCGAGATCGCAAGAAAAGGATGTTAGGCTTATCCTATGCTCTTTATATTGATACAATACTCTCCAGGTTTAGCATGCATGATTTCAAGAAAGGATTACTCCCTTTCAGGCATGGAATTTCTCTATCTAAAGATCAGTCTCCTAAAACTGATGAAGAGATAGAAACGATGAAGGCGGTCCCCCATGTATCTGCTGTGGGGAGTCTGATATATGCTATGTTATGTACTAGACCTAATATCTGCTTTGCCGTTGGCGTTGTTAGCAGATTTCAGTCTAATACCGGGAGAGAGCATTGGACAGCGTTAAGCATATAATCAAGTACCTGAAAAGGACTAGGGATTACATACTAGTCTACCATTCGGATGAACTTGTGCCTATTGAGTACACTTATTCGGATTTCCAATCAGATAGAGATTCTAGAAAGTCTACCTCAGGAAATGTGTTTACTATGGGAGGTGGAGCCATAAGTTGGAGGAGCATCAAGCAAACTTGTGTTGATGATTCCACCATGAAAGCCGAATATGTGGCTGCCTCTGAGGCAGCCAAAGAGGCGGTTTGGCTCGGGAACTTCCTAAGAGAGTTGAATGTGGTTCCCTCGATTCAAGCACCAATAACACTTTATTGTGATAATAGTGCTGCGGTTACAAATCAAAGGAGCCATGAAGCCATAAAAGAGCAAAGCACATTGAGCGTAAATATCATTTAATTCGTGAGATAGTGCAAAGGGGGGATGTAGTAGTCACCAAGATTGCGTCGGAGAACAACTTGGCGGACCCGTTTACTAAGAGCTTGCCACAGAAGACTTTTGATAGGCATGTAGACGGAATGGGTGTCAGAATTATAGGCGCATGGTTATGAGTCTAAGTGGGAGATTGTTTGGATATACTATAAACCATGCGTATTGTTATAGTATTCTTTATGGAACAAATGTTTATTTATTTATTCAATTCAATAAAGTTTTATTTTAAATAGATCATGTATTTGTTTGTGTGTCCGTTGCTTATATAGTAGATGATTTAGTGTATAGAGTTTAGTTTATACAAGAAAGATTAAATCATCGGTTCTTATAAGTCATAAAGTTTATGTTCACAATCTATTGATGGAATTGGACAAACCATCGGAATGGTTGTAGCACAAGATTAACTATAATTTATCTTGATTATGGGAATGGTTTAATTCCAACTTCTTGTGCTAGTACATTTTTTTTATGTATTGAACGGAAGTAGAGATAGGTATTTTATACTGACAAAATAATATAATTTCTCTAGTCCATTCAATGTACTTATTCTCTTAATCTTGATATAATTATTATTAGTTGTGTATATCACTTATTGTTTTGAGTTATTAAAAGGCGAGATTCTTTCATGGGTCAATAAGCCTGGTAAATTGGACAATAATGACATACATTGGCGAAGTAATAATTAGTTGATAGAATTCAAGTCTCGATTTTTGAGATTGATGATACTCCTTTATGAAAGCTTATAAGTTTTATGTGTAAACCCGGCCGGTGGATTTTGTATCCGACACATGAAATAAGTTAAGTGAAAGTCTAAAGGGAATAATCAATAAATTAAATTGTCAGTAATTTAATTTGATTGGTTAGTATCTGAATCTTAACATGGGGAGTTAAACAAGGTTTTGTGGAAGAATTTAGAATTTGAACTAAGGAGTGCAATTACGAATTTTTAGTGGAATAATTCGTAATTTATTATGGAAGAAATTAATTTCAAATTTCGAAATTAATTTCATAATAGGAAGCCTTGTTAATTAAATTCTGTGGTCCCTACTGTGCCTAAATAATAGGAAATAAAGGAAATCTTTCCTTAGTGGAAGAAGAAAACCTAACAGGTATTGGAAAAGGGTTTTAACCTAAAAAACGGGCAACTTGCATCTCTGGAACTGGAGACGGATATTAGTTTGCTTTGTTCACGCTTCAAGAGGTAACTCGAATAATCTCCATATGTACTAATTATTTAATTCACACGTGAATATAATACTTTGATTGCTTCTGGTGCGATATATAATCCAACAGACATGAGAGTAATAGTGACATGAAAACAAGAAACCAAGTGACAGACCTCCTCGCAAGGAAAGGAGCTAGGAAGGAAGAAGTTTTTGACAATACCCTAGTTTTTGAGAGTTCCTCCGTATTTACTACCCGAACAGTGTAGGCAAATATCTCAGGAACTGTTTTTGAAAGAAAAGTAAATATTTGTATTATGGCAACTTTGGTAGACACTGAACAATCAACAGGGACCTCGTCCCCCTATATTGATATAATTTTATATATATATATATATATATATATATATAACCCCCAAGAAAAAAGTAGAAACCAAAGGAGATCCACTTGATTGAACATGAGCACACAAAAATATAGAATAAG